TGGCAGTTGGTTCCGTGTACATCGCGGCTGTGCAACTCATGAACGAAAGTGGTGACAGCTTCAGCGTTGGAGGAGACACACATACCCGAACCTGCACGCGGGGCTGTTCAGAGGTCCGGCCTATCTGAAGTCTGCTGGAGCTGAGAGAAGTGGTGCCCTGCTGGACTCTCTTCCGGAGTAGGGTTACAGGGTGTGTGACGCTGCAGCCATAGCTGCAGCTTCTTCCTCAGAGATCATCTTGTCAGGAGAGGTGGCGGTGCTGTAAACTTCCTCCCGGGAAGTCACCCGACACTTCATCATCATCAGACACTGTGGCGCTGGTCTTCTTCTTCATCCTCTGAGGGGCGCTTGGCCTCAAAGGCCTGTTTCAGGGTGGCGCTTCCCTCTGGAGGCTGTATCTGGGTGGCGCTTGATGTTCCAGGGACTCAGGGGTGTTATCAGCTGTTACTCAGGGTTGGGGAGTGAAGCGCTGCTCACTTCTGAGCAGCGCACCACAGTTCTGGGGTTATTCTGACAATTCGAGACTCTTGAGTTCAATAAACAGTGTTGATACTGGGTTTGAACTATCTTTGCTTCATTGTTTCCTGGATGTGATCTACTCGGCTTTCCTTTGTGATTGGTTGTGCGGATTCTGTGGAGTGAGGTGCACTTCAGTGTTCTCTGTCATATCGCATGGTCAAAGTCTTTCGCTGTGTTTATCTCTCCCTGTGCGGTGTGATACTCCCATCCTCTCCCCTTCCTTTCTGTGTATGTATGGGCATACCTGGAAATCTATGTGTGAGTGTTGGTCTTCTGACATCAAGCAACCGGGTTCATAACACGGCCAGCTGCAATCGGACTTGCTTTCATTCACACTTTACATGCATGCAAACAGTAGCACAGCAAACTGGCGACAGGCGCCCACTCAGTACTCAGACATATGACAACCCAGATACGACTTCACTTCCAATGGCTATGGCGATATAGCGCCCATACAACTCTCTGTTCGCATACAGTGGATCACCCTGGATATCCCACACGTGTCTCTCTGAACACTCACACACACACACACTGAACACTAACTACAGCTATGGCGGCTATGGCTGCCTCTACCCTATCGCTATGGCTAAGCTTCGTCTCTCTGCCCACTTCGTCTTCGGGCTTACTGCAGACCTCCTTGCACAAGTCGCTGTGGCAGCGCTTCCGCATGGCTCATGCAGGAATGAATGAATGGCTGGGCGCTGCCTCTTGATTTATACTTCTGCAGTGCGTTGGTCTGGCCTCTTTCCCAGGCCTGAAGTGCACACAGTCCCATGCGGTACTTGCTTGACTGGACCAGGACTGCCTAGGACTGGGACTGCTGACTCAGCACGGGCAGACTCCACCACTTGCCCACTTGCCTCAGCTTAGACGTGGGAAACTTCGAAAGGCCACTGTTCGGACCTTCCGGAAGGCCGTAGACTTGGCCTTTCGACACTGTAGCAGCTGCGACCTTGACCTCTCTAGACTGCAGCGGCTACGACCTTGACTCTTCGAGAAGACTACAGCTATGACCTCTAGACCTGACTGGGACTCCTATCCGACAGGTCTACAGATTGAACCCATGCTACCTATGGACCCTACGACAACCTACCAACTGCTACAATTACACAGGTCGCGAGTTCAACTTTACGGGTCGACACAGGTACTGTACACAGGTAAGGTGGGGGCTAGGGATCGAGCCCTGGGATCTGCATCAGCTACTGCGAACTGGTGAATACCGTTTCACAGCTATGGAAGCCGGGCTATGGCGCTGCCCTCAGCAGCGCCCTTCTTCCCACATGACCGCACGTGCACAGCATGTGGCATACTGCGTCGCCACACGGGCCTGCCGGGCCCGTCCCGCATTCTCAGCCTAAAAGCCTAGAAAACAGGGCTTACAGGCCCCATCTCGTTTCAGCCTGAAACTGAAAACGAGGGCCTGCAGGCCCTATTTCGTTTTCAGCCTATAACAGGGCTTTTCAGCCTGAAACGGAGGGCCACTTTCGGGCCCTCATAAGATCGACCTACCCTAAGACTCAGGCACAAAACCAGGGTTTTGGGAACAGGCTATTTCTGGCCTGTTCCTCACGACAGCCTTGAGCAGGAGCTGCAGCGGCAGCCTCTGACTGCCTTTGGCATTGGCAAGAGCAGCCTCCTGGACTGCCTCGCCTGCAGCCAGGAGGTACCCGAGTAGTACATAGGAAGTTCCCATGCACTTCACGGGTAGGTAGTTGGACAGTAGGCACGAGTAGTCTTCAGGATTCAGCCGCAAAACTCAGGAGGAGCGCTGGAGGTAGTAGTTAGTGCTAGCAGTAGTCTTCAGCGCCGGGCGCTCATAGCTGTAGTAGTAGTCTTCAGCGCAGGGCGCTAGTAGCTGGTAGGGTAGTGTTGGAGAGAGTTGGCTGGCGGAGGCCAGCGGTACTTACCTGTGGCGCCATAGCTCCAGCTCCATCTTCGAGGTACCTGCATCAAGGCGCCAACTTCACAGGTTAGTACTGGACACAGAGAGAGAGAGAGTTCTTCTTCTTCCTCTTCTAAGTCCACCATCTCTTCTCACCCTCTCACCACCTGACTTCTCAGGATCAGCAGACTACGACAGAGAGAGAGAGAGTTGTGACTTGAGACTTGAGGACATTGGATCCAGACTCGACATTTGGGATTCAGACATTTTGACAAGGGACTATTTGTGCCTGTGCCGAAGACTTGGTGTTGACGACATTCCCATCTTCCCCTCCTCTTCGTCTAAACCCCTTCTTCTTCGTCTGTGTATGGTTGGGGCCGGCGCAGTCTTCCTGTGTGAAGCGCCAGACCCCTTTCACACCATGTAACGATGATGATGATGTATGTTCAGGGCTGCATTGCAATATTGATTGTTCGGATCATTGGTATCTAAGTCTTCCGCTACGCTATCTTGTACTTTGTATTGAGAGGTCGGTTCTTGTTCTGGTCTGCCCTGTTACAGTATGCAACACAGCACCTTGCCCTTAGCGCTAGCAGCAGCATGCGAGCGTCCGCTCCAGCAGCGCTGCCGCAAACTAGCAAGTGTGGGCTCCCCTTTCAGCTTCACCCTTGCGGGAGGTGGGACGAGTGTGGCATACACAACATGGGGGGACCAAACATTAAAGTGGGCACCCTTATTGTTCCCCTGTTGCTGTGGGTTAGCTTTTGCTGCAGCAGTATGCCCTCTAAGCTCCCTCTGCCATCACAAGAAAAAAAAAAAGGTAAATGTTGCTTGTATCAAGTGGCTTAAAACACTATTGCCTCCGCGAGTGTTGGGAAACGAGGGAAACGGGCTATTCCCGAATATTTCGGAGGCCGGGCCCGACAACGGCTGCCATTGGTAAATCTCATGGGCCGGCTGTCGCTTCGTTTCGGCCTCCTAAAAGGTCGGAGGCCCACCCGAGGCCTGCTATTTTCCCACTCGGCAAAGGTACTTGTGGTTTAACGAAACGGTCTGTCATATGTGAATCGAGGGCCTTGCACAGTTCCCCCTGAACCGTCGGTGTTGCTCCCCACTTTTTTCCTTCTTAAGACAGTGTTGTGTATGGTTTAACTGGCAAGTTTTTTAATTTTAAATTTTTAATTCTTTTGGTTTTCGTTTTAATATTAAATCCAGCAGGATCTGAACCGGCGAATTTTTATCAACAAGGCATATGTGTGTACCGCCCACCCATACTGCTGGGGTGTTGATTTTCTCGGATCTCTGATCTGTTGATTCTGCTGTGTAGATGCCTTCTGGTACAAACATCTCTCAAGACAGCTTTACAAAAAGGTTTGCTGGAATTCGAACGTCGACAGACTTTCTGGAATCGCCAGAGCGTCAAGGAGCTGCAGGAGATCCACCCTCTGATGCTGTTGACATATGTCAGTCCAAGTGCTTGTCTCCTGTTCTGTCTCTGGCTGAAGCTGTGGATGCTCTTTTGTGCGCTGTTCGAGAGCTTCCTGCACAGTACAGTTTGTTTCACAAGAGTGGTGTTGTACGCCTCGAGGTGAGCCTAGCTGATGCTATCATTATTAGGGAGAAGTCATTTCTCTGCTCGCTTTCTTCCATTCTCTTCCCACTTGAACGTCTTACAGGTTTTTTTTTTGTTTTGCCCCCTTCCCTAAAGCTCTGACCTGTTCGTGGGGAGCAGCGAATGCTGGGAACTGGGCCCAGTGTCTTTTATAAGATTATATACATACTTGCGGCGCATTTGTGCGGTGCGCCATGCGGACTGCGCGCGGTGACACTGCGCGCGCACGTGCGCGAAAGTTCGCATGAGGTGCGCCGTGCGCGCAGCGCGTGGGGACGCGCTACCCCTGCGAGGTGCGC